AGGTCGAGGATAATCGAGTTAAATAATTCACGAACGATTCTCTCCTTTTATTCTTTTCAAACACATTTTTCAATGACAAATCAATTTGCAATCGAAAATAAAAATACGTCACGGAGGCATCCGTTTCCTTGATTCCGAACACTCGTCAAATTAATCAACGTCGATCGATCAAACTCGTACATATTCGATTGGGAAGAATTGAAATTGCATTCGAGTAACGGTTTCCTGGCGACGCGATTGAAATTTTTCGTTCACAGAACGGTCGCTTAATTCGTCAAATCTGATTGTATGCGACTCATTATCTATTTGATGATCGAATGAAATTTGCACATTATCATTTTTCAAAAGCTACTCAAGAACATTTCTCTCATAAGAAACTCAACCGGCTTTAATTAAAACGAGTATACACACGGAAACAAACGAAACAGCTCGTTTTTATTACAAAGAGAAGTGTTGATTCAGTGGAATGCTCCTGAGGCGATTCAAGATTCGTTTTTGTCCTCTCAACCACTTCTTGAAACGTTGTAAAGGATTAACACGCGACACGATCGAAACTCACGAGTGAATAATCGAGAAAAAATTCGTCATCGATTAAAAATAACGAGAGAGATATTCGTCGTGTACCGGATGATTATTGGAAAGCAAAAGCGACGAGTATATCGCGCGAATAGCAAACGAGCAACAGGATACAGTTGCTCCCTCCACTGGACGTAAGGTAGGCCAGAGAACAGAGACGGATAGTATGAAATGGAGAGAGAGTAGCCGAGGGATCCCACTCTAGGTAGAGTTCATGACGTCAATCTTCGGGGCCAAGTCGCACGACCAGTTTGAACTGCTAGCTCGCCGTAAGAAGGGAAGAAGAAGAGGAAGAAGAGGCGACACTGGTCTCTCGAACTGTTCCTCGATCGGTCCTGATATGTGTACATTTTTACCGGCCGGCACTCGTACCGCCGCCATGTGTATCCAAACTGTTCTCTCGTCTGATCGTGTGTCATACATCGGTGGATAGGTTTGTCTACATATATAAAGATTCTTCGATTGAGGTTAATTAAATTTGTGATCAAACAGTGTATCAAATAAGAAAAGGTGAACGGGTTCGCTTGTTGAAATTGATGAATCGATAAAAATGATTGAATACGACAAAGAATAGAAAAAAGAGCATAGAGTGTCGTGAAGACCAGTCAATATAATCGCACACCTGGTGCCAGTGATAAGTAGTGTGCATGGAAGCGAATGCAAGTCGTGCAGTGGAGACTCGCGATGGAACTCGGTTGTTCGGTGACAATACCTTGGTCGATCGGGAAGCCCCCACAGTTATCCGCCTTCTCAGTGCTGAACTTTAGCTTGGACATTACGATATCTTATCCAATCGCGCGAATTTGTGGTAGTTCGATTGAATAGAGGCCAAAAAAGATACGTGTACGAATATAATTAGGAGATCGATAAACAGGTTGTGACAGTGATGCATGTTCTGTGAAAATCTAACGAAAAAAATATTAAAGGTATAAATTAATTTTTGGCCTTTTTAAAATAAATTTCACGTTTATTTATAAGTAGTTCAATTATATTTCAATCTTGAAAATGATTGTCATCAGTTTCTGTCACTTCTCAGATAACTGACGAATTTCTTCTCGAGAAAAATATGGCGGTTTCCAGTCAATAAAATTGAAATAAAATAATATACTTCTTTTAGTTAATGATTGTTGTTATTTAAAAGAATTTAACAACTTATCTTTATAATCATTCTTCATTTATTCAATTAAATATTTTTCTTTAAATGTTAGAATAAATTTTGACTAAATTTGACAAAAATTTCTTTGAAGCAGTGCTTTCTTTATTTTTATCTTTTCTCGATATTCTGGGATATTTTACATGGAAAAAATTAAAACTATTTCGGAATTTTTGAAATTATATTTTACAAGTGTTTAAGATATTTTTTTCTAAAGTCGAGTAAATCATTTTCTTGATCTCGACAATATTTTTTTTAATTACAAAAGTTATATTGTTATTTTTTATATACTGTTTATCGAATATTATCATGTTTATTATGTAATATTATGTTAAATTAGATTTTATTATTTTATTATTTTAATCTTATGTAATAAGAAATAATTTTAAAAAAAGTGATTTAATTCTATCACTTATTTAAACTAAATTTAATGGCCGAAAATTAATTTCTGTATATCTAATAAAATAGTGAGGCATATAAGTGTATATAATAATAAGGCAGATAAGTGTTATGAACTGGAAAGTTATATTCTGAGGATTAAAAGGGATCGAAGGAAAGAACATTTGAACGAAGAGGAATAGCAAAGTGCACGGACGTTCGATGATATCGTGTATGGTGCAACGAGGAAAACAACGAACGACGAAGCCGTTGTGTTTGGATACTTGACGCGGTCGCTACTGCGCGTCGTGAAAACATCGACGCCAGAAGAGAAATGGGAAACCACCCGTCCGCCCACCAACCGCTCGAGAGAGCTACCAACCATGCTGGAAATGGTCTTCGCCTCTCGGTATGTCCCGATCTTGTTTTACGTCAACGATAACTATCTGAGAGGCAGATGCCCACGTGTGACGCACGCCTCTTGATGAAATATCGTTAAATAGAGCATACATGCGTTGTTTCGTGTTATTGTATGTGCCACGAGTGAGGCCTTTGAAGCTTACCGCTGACTCTGTTTTCGGCCTTTTGTTTATTGGTTAATTGTCGAAGGTTGACATCGGTCACCTTGATAAAAATTTTAGAAACTTTCGTGGTGGGGATTAGACAAATTTCATTTGGGATGGGAGATGGTTTTATATAATGTTATGGCTCTGTCGAGGGAATGAGTTGTTATTCGAAATTTTTTAAATTAATTAAAAATCTACTTGTGATCGATCAAATGATTTGAGGTTATGGAGAATGAGGATTTTTAATAATAAGTAATTATTAGATTTAAGATTATTATAGATTATTATTATTATAGATTATTTCATTGATTTATTTTTATTTATTATCGTAGATTTTTTTCTTAAAAATAGAGAAATAGAAATTTTTAGTTTTTATCTTATATTAGATATGAAACGCTTTTATTAATGCTTAATATTTTATCGAGATCATAAATACGTATCTCGAGTTAAAAATAATAAACGATTCCTAAAAATAATGAACAGATGCCTTCTTCAAGTGATTTTATCACTCGCAATCAATAACATAATCAATATTTTGAAAGTTCCAACATCTTCGATAAATTACGTATTCTGTAGAAATATTATGACAGTCAACATCGCATTCCTCTCGTCTTTGAAGTTTGAATCGTTTTCTTGAGTTATCCATATAAAAAGAAGTCTAATTATTTTCAGTAGCAAGTATATATTTATAACCTAATAAGAGGCGAGATTAAGGGACAAGAGAAGAAAAATTATTCCATAGTAATGGATCAAATTGCTTTATGAATACGTTGTACTTTAAGATTATAAAATAAATTATGATTATAGCTTTTAACGAGAACTAGTATATGAAGCGTGAATTTTTCATATTTTTGTGCCAAGAAAAATAAGAAAAAAAGTAGAGATTTTAAAACAAGATTCGAGTAATCTAAATAATTGTTGTTAAAAATAAAAAGTAAAAAAAATTATGCAAAATAATTGACATGTTATAAAATTAAAATAAATTATCTCGTTATCAACTGAGTAATTGAATAAAATATTTTTTTTATTATTTCTTATTATTTCTATTATTTTTTATTATTTCTAATATGAAAGAAATTTCCAATCCAAATAAACTATGATATAATATAGAAAACAAAATATTTCGATAATAATAAACATCGAAAGCTCCCAAAACTGTTTATCTATAAAACTGTTGATGTGGAAAATCTGAGCTTTGTTATCTTTGTTAAAGTAAAACAATTTCTACATTAAAATATATATACTTTCGATATTCTCCAATTTCATACCTCTTTGATTTGACCATGTATTAATTCGGTCTCCTCTTCGTCGTGGGCGGATAGATATTTTTGTGGATTGGATCACGAAACTGGTCCTGTAGAGGTCACGATGAAGGTCGCATACTTTCCACTTTATCCTCGAGATTTGCTTGAGTTTTTTATTCGATTGATTTCTTCTTATTATTTTTCACAATAAAAAAACACGATAAAAATAAATGAATTTTTTGACTCGAATCAATCAATTATTTTCGTAAAATTTATATTATATAATACTTGTGATATATAATTATACACATATTTTACATTTTTATAGCTTTTTTGTAAAATTTGTAATTTATTATAATTTGTTTGAAAGTAATTATATTTTCATTGAATTATTACGTAATTATTACATAATGTTTATATTAAAGACAATAATAAACGTGATAAACATCTTTTAAAAGATAATCAACGATCAAATAGCTTTTTGTTTTCTGTTTCTATTTGCATTATTTCTGTTGTATCTATCATATGTCATATTGTATCATACATGACTAACAATGACTTTTATTTCAAAGTATACATGTACATAATTCATAGAAAATTAATTCTTTCAAATTCAAATTTTTTAGAGGTATAAAAATTTTGTTTTCAATTTAAGAACATAATATAAATGATTCTTATTTTAATAATTTCTTTTTCTTAACAGCAATAAACTACAATTTTATAGAAATTAATAACACGTATATTAAATCGTATACTAAAACTTCGTGAATTAAACATACTTAGCTCTTTTATTCATATATCCATGAACAATAAAACAAGGAATAAAAAAAGAAGTAAAAATTTTAAAACACTTTTAAAAGCCACAACATCAAACAATGAAAAAAAAAAAAAAAAAAAAAA